CAAAAAGGGACCCCAATTTTGACAACCATCCATGTATACCACAACAAGAGCAAGCCTGAATAGCGAGACTATGGGCTATAGGATCCTTAAGGGAGGGTGGTTCAAGGGGGGAGGGTATAAGGAATCCTTAGGGGACTGTAAGGGAACCTTAGGGAGTACTAGGGAGAATTAGGGATCACTAAGCTATATACCCCCCTTGGACCCCCCTCCCTTAAGGATACTACAAATGGGTTTGAGGTCCCCAGACCTGAAAGATGAGGCTGAGACATTCGGGTTTAGGATACTACAAATGTTCCTTAAGGGCCCCTTTAAAGGGATCTATAGGGATTCTATAAGGGTAAAGAAGGGTTTAGGGTTCATGGTAACTACACTTATAACCCATATTACGCGACTTATAACCCTACTTATAGCTACCCATGAACCTCCACTATCCAGGAACCCTAGGGAAAGGTCTCTTGGGGGTGTTGGGCTTAGGATGCCCTAAGTACATTAAGGAACTCCCAAGAAGGGCCGGACTCAGTCTTCAGGTATACCGAAACCCTCAAACACAACCTGATAAACCTTTACAACACCACTAAAAATCCATACATAACAATTCTAGAACCCTTTTAGAGTCCTTGTAGAACTTTTACAATGCCCTTATGTGTCCCGTCAGAAATCCTACAGAAACCCTGAACCCTCGACCGTAAACCCTTAAAGCCTTAAAGCCCCTTTCAGCTAAGCCCAGACAAATGGGAGTTTCAGTAATAGGGGACCCTAATATAGTACCCTACAGAGTAGATCCTTATTGTAAGGACCCCTAAGTAAGGTACCCCTAATTTTCGGAAACTATATAAACCCTTATAAAGCCCTTCAAAGGAACCCTTATAGTGCCCTTTAAAGGATCCCTGTTAAAGGTCCCCCTAATTGTCAAAAACTCCCAAATCGCAGGGCCAGGTGCGGCAGCTGCGGCTTGAGCCGCGGCTAGGCCGGTGTCCTTCGGCTTTGACGTTTAGGGTTGAAGGGTTTAGGGATTTAGGGGTTTAGGGTTTAGGGTTTAGGGCTCAGGGGTTAGGGTTTACGGCTTTTTGGGTTTAGGGATTAAGGTTCAAGGATTAGGGTTTTAGGCTTTAGGGTTTGGGGGTCAGGGTTTGGTGCTCTGGGGTTGGGATTTCTGGTTTGCCCTGCACCCGAAACCCTGTAAGATAAAAGGAATCCTTACACTACCTTGTAGATCCTATTTAACGGAACCCTTATAGAAACCGATCATGGCAGCCTTGTAGGAAACCCTTATCAAGCCATAGTTCTTTGTACATCCCGCGCAAGGAATCCGTAGAGAAACCTTTCTAGCAAACCCCTTTTACCTCATAGATCCCTTGGAGAAATCGCTCAAGGAAGCCTTGCAGCAAACCCGAAAAGGCCTCCTCTCTCTAGTCTCTCTGCATAAAGCAGTAAAACCCTCAACGCTAAACCTCCCCAAAACCCTCAACCCTAAACCTCCCTAAGCCCAAAGCCCCTACAAAGAGCCCTGAAGCAGCCGCCTCCTCTCTCTGCATACTAACCCTAAAACCTCAAACTCGTATGGACTTATAGATCCCTAATCGATCCCTTATAAAGAACCCTCTGCAGGAACCCTAAACCCATAACCTTAAAGTCTTATAGGCTTGTAGCTCCCTTGAAAGGAATCCTTATAGGAACTCTATAGATCCCTTAGAAGGACCCCTGACAGTATCGTATAACCCTAAACCCTAAACTCTACACCCTAAACCCTAAACCCTACACCCTCAACCCTACCTACACCCTAAAGCCTAAAACCCCAAACCCTAGACCCCAAAACCTAAACCCTTAAAGGAATCCTACACCCCAAAAGGCCTCCTCCCTCTGCAGGTGCGTGTGCGCCGGGCCATCGGCCCGGATCTCCGATCGGCAGGTCGGGCAGACCTGGACCGCGGCTTTCGGGTGTTACAGTAGAAACCCTAAACCCTTAGGGTTTAGGGTTTAGGGCTTAGGGTTTAGGAAATCCTCAACCCTGAACCCTATACCCTTATAGAATCCTTATAGATGCCTTCAAAGGGGACCTTAAGGAACCCATTATTGGGTCACTAAGTTATTAACTAGGATACCCAGTAACCTAAGAACAAAAAGGCCTCTCTTTTTGGTATTGGGTAACTTTATAAGGAACCTAGGACTACAAAAAGGGAATAAGGGTACTACTGGGCATCCTAGTTAAAGAACGGTTTAGGGTTTAAGGCTTTAGGGGCTTAGGGGTTCACCGTTTAGGGGTTTACGGTTTAGGAGTTTCGGGCTTGGGGGTTTGAGGGTTGGCCTTTTCCAGGGAACGCAAATATCAATTTAACTAGACCTAAGAGTAACCTAGGAATAAAAAGGATTTTTGGTTTAAAGGGTGTTAAAAGGGATCCTAAACCCTAAAAAAAGGGAATAAGGGCCTACTCCAGGTCCTAGTTAAGGTGTTTGCAGGTGTTGAAAAGTCTCATCAAAGGGATATTGAAGTGCATTGTAGAGTAGAGTTTGTAGTGGTATTCATAGAGCTGTAAAACACGGTCTTGTAGATTCTACACGCTGTGTGAAGAAGTGTTTGAGATGTTGAGCCCAAACCGTGAGGAAGCACAATGCTGAACCGATACGTAAGATACGAATGAAAGCAGGCTTACAAACAGTTCAGGTCAGGACAAGCTCCTCTTTGAACCGATGCCTCTAAAATCCTGGCACCCTGCGTGAATACTAATACTGGTACTCTGAGGCCCTAATAAGTAGAATAAGGTGGTGGGATGCTTTGGCAAAAAAGTTGTAGGGACTACGTTGGGAGATAGTTTCTAGTTGTCCCGATTCCTTTCCCCTGGAACCCAATTCCTCTCCGACAATGTTGCAACGATTCCCCATACTTTTCGGCGCCTGCTGCATCACGAGCCAGGACTTCAGGCAGTCCTCAAATTCAGGAAGGCGGTGGAAGAAAGCTCCGAAACTGGTGAGACCCCGTCATCGAGGAATTCCAACATGTGAGAAAATGGAGGGATACCTGAATGTGACTCAAGCAGTAAGTAAAAGGCAATATAGGAGCCGTAACAATAAGAATAGGGTTCGCAGGTATATTTTACAACAGGGACAGGAAAGGGACAGTATTACTTACCGGTTTAAGCAGCTTAAGGTACACTATCTTGAAACCCGACAGCCTAAACCCTTTAAGCCCCAAGCCCCAAATCCTAAACTCCAAGCCCAAGAGGCGAAACCCTAAACTCTACCCAACATTCTAACCCCAAACCCTCAACCCTAAATAATTACCAAATCCCAAATCGCAAAAACTTAAACCCCAAGTCCTGAACCCAAAACCCTGAACCTCTAACACCCTAAACTCCAAACCCCAAAGCGTAAAGCCTCAACCCTCAACCCTCACCCTAAACCCTAAGGCCCAAACCCCACAGCCTACAGAAAGAAAGGCCCTAAACCCCTACGAAACCTCTGCAATGTAAAGGAACCCCTAAACCCTAGTAGAAGCCTTAAGGAAACCTCAAGGGGACCCTTCAAAGAGCGCATACAGAAAGGAGCCCTTAAAGGAACCCCAACGTGGCCCAAAGACCAGAGAGAAAAGGCTCAACCCCTAAACCCTCAATGCCAATAAAACCCTTGTATGGAGTTTTCGAGAATCAGGGACCCCAATATAATACCCTGAATAGTAGGATCCTTACCCTAAGTACCCCAAGATAAGGTACCCCCTTATTTTGGGAAACTCCCATACGGACCATTAAAGGAACCGGAAAGGGAACCCAAAGAACACCTTCGGCTTAGGCCTCCTGGAAGGATTCCCGCAAAGGAGCCCTTAAAGGAACCCAAATAGGAACCTTCCGGAAGCCCAAGGGAACTTCCTAAAGGAATCCCTAAAGGAACCCCGAAAGCAAGCCCTAAAGGAACTGCCACTTCCAGTAACAAATCAAGGGAAGTCTTCAAGAAACCTCGAAGTAAAGAGAGGAAGATGCCCCGAAACAGAGACCTTGTAGGGACCCTTAAGAGCCTCTAAAGCGACCCTTGAAAGGACCCGTAGAGGAACCTCAAAGCAACGAAAGGCACGGGCTATGTGAAATCCTAGACCCTAAACCTTAGTAGACATCTTATCAGGAAACCTTAAAGGAACCCCTGAAGGAACCCCTAAAATGAACCCCTCCTAAAAGACCCCGTAAAGGAACCCAGAGAAGAAGACACCTTTCCAGAAACATTAAAAGAACCCCTACAGGAACCCTTATACTAACCCAGAAAGGAGCCCTTAAGGGAGCCCTTAAGGGAGCCCTTAAAGGAGCCCTTAAAGCTCAAAGCCCAGAGAAGAAGGGCCCGGGCTATGTGGAAAACCCTAGTAGACACCTTACAAGAAACCACAAAGGAACCCCTAAAGGGACCCTTGTAGGAACCCTTAAAGGAGCCCTTAAAGAAGGGCCCGGGCTATGTGGAAGATGTGGCCGCAGGAGAGCTTCTTGGGCTTGGAGCCCTCGAAGAGCGAGTCTCTGCCTCGGTCCCTTAACAGGAAACCCCATAAAGGTTTAGGGTGTAGTGCTTTGGGTTTAGGGTTTAGGGGTTTAAGGCTTAGGGTTTAGGGTTTAGGGTCTAGGGCTTAGGATTTAGGGTTTAGGGCTTAGGGTTTAGGGCTTAGGGTTTAGGGCTTAGGGTTTAGGCTCCTTTCGTGGCTCCTTTGAGGGGCTTCTTTTAAGGGTTCCTCGAAGGGTTCCTGTAAGGGCTCCTTTAAGGGTTCCTGTGTTTAGCCTTTGGGGTCTAGGGTTTCAGGTTTAGCTAAAATTCAAAGGCCTCCTTTCGTGGCTCCTGTAATTATAAGGGTTTAGGATTCCTGACAGGTTTGCTTTGAGGGGCTGCTTCGAATTTCTGCTACTTTCATGAGTCTTCTAGATTGAATGACCTTACTAGACGTCTATGCACACCATGACCCCTAAGAAAAACCATAAAACCACACTGTAAGTATGACGTAAGTACCGTGTTTCAGGCGTCTTGGCCTCACCTCCCTATCCGCAGACCATGAGACCGCGGCAGATGACGCAGAACTCGTTCTCCTCGATCTCTGCATCTGTGGCCTCAGTCGTAAGTACCCTACATGGAACCCCATACTGCTTCGAATGTCAAAACTAGTTTCGGAAGGAGGGGGGGTTTATGTTGTCTGATCCCGGGGTCTTTCTTCGCATCCCTCAGTTTCGCCGTTACACCACAACCCGAACCCTGCCCGAAACCCTGCCCGAAACCCTACCCGAACCCCTAAACAAAAAGCTCTAAAACCCCAAACCCAAAGCCCTAAACCCTGAACACAAAGCCCTAAACCCTAAACCCAAAGCCCTCAACCGTGAACTCAGTTTAGAGAAAATGAGGGACCCGAGCCTTTTGAGACTCTCCAGTCATCCGCGGAGGTTCAAACTGGCTTGGGGTTTAGGGTTTAGGGTTTAGGGTTTAGGGCGTGGGGTTTAGGGTTTTTTTTTTAAATGCAGTGGGCCTTTTCTCCTGCTGACCCTGCCTTTTGACAGGCTTGCACCATTCAACATTAACAAAATGACCTCACATCCCTTCGGGAGCGACACTGTCTTCAGATACAGGGTTTAGGGTTTAGGGTTTTGGGGTTCTGGGTTTAGGGTGTACCACACCTCAAACCCTGCAACCCCATGTAAGAAAGCACGACCGTAAAACGCGCTGTACATCCCTTCCCAGTCCAACACCGCTTTATAAAGGGCATATAGATAGTTCCGGGTCATTGGGCTCTCTGGGTCTGTGTTTCTTAGGACCTGGCATCCGGGAAGCACAGCTCCATGTTCCTTGGCCGAGCGAGGGAGCCGAGTTTCACGGGGTATAGGGTTTGGGGTTGTAGGGCTCAGAGTTTACAATTTTGGTCTCATACGGTACCTTGGGGATATATATGGTTGTATAAAGGTGGTCCTGTTGAGCTTAGGGAGTGCAACACCAAGTTTGCCTGTACAGGATACAGTTTGAGGCTCAAAAAAAGGAAACCTGTCCGAAACGAAAAGAGACAAGGAAGAAATCCCAAATCCATGTCTTCCAAGGGTAAAAGGAGGGACCCTTAATAAGGACCCCCAGGTATATACCCTTAATATAGCTATTATGTACCCATTACATAGCCCATGTAAGTAGGCCTATAAGTACCCTAAAAGGGACCCTAATTGGGGTTATGGTACTTGTAAGTCCTGAAAATAACCAGTTACTAAGTCCCCAGACCCTCCAAGTAAGGAACCCTTCAAGTAAGGAACCCTTCAAGTAAGGAACCCTTCAAGGGTAATTACTACTCAGGAACCTCTAAACCCTAAACCCTATACCCTTATAGAATCCCTATAGATCCCTCTAAAGGGGCCCTTAAGGAACCTAGAACTTAGTAACTGGTTATTTTATGGATTTATAAGTACCATAACCCCAACTAGGGTCCCTTTTTAGGGTACTTATAAGCCTACTAACTACCTACTTACTAAGTCCCCCGAGCCTCCTAGTACTCAGGAACCTAGATCCCGACACCCTGAAGCTATACTTTACAGTAGAAACCCTAAACCCTAAACCCTATACCCTTATAGAATCCCTATGGATCCCTTTAAAGGAGCCCTTAAGGAACCCATTAAGGAACCCGACACCCTGAAGCCGGGGCACATCGAAATCCGCCGATACCGGCGGAAACTGCGGAGGCGCTGCGCCAGCTTCCGAGCCACCTCCCGGGCTTCTGGTTTTAAGGCTTTAAGGCTTTAAGGGTTTAAGTCTTTAGGGGTTTCGGGGCTTAGGGGCTTAGGGGCCTTTTAGGGCTTAAGGCTTTAAGGCTTTAAGGGTTTAAGGGTTTAAGGGTTTAGGGGTTTAGGGTTTTAGGTTTAGGGTTTGGGGGTTAAGGCTTTAAGGCTTTAAGGGTTTGGGGGTTTAGGGTTTTAGGTTTAGGGTTTGGGGGTTAAGGCTTTAAGGCTTTAAGGGTTTAGGGGTTTAGGGTTTTAGGTTTAGGGTTTGGGGGTTAAGGCTTTAAGGCTTTAAGGGTTTGGGGGTTTAGGGTTTTAGGTTTAGGGTTTGGGGGTTAAGGCTTCAAGGCTTTAAGGGTTTAGGGGTTTAGGGTTTTAGGTTTAGGGTTTGGGGGTTAAGGCTTTAAGGCTTTAAGGGTTTGGGGGTTTAGGGTTTTAGGTTTAGGGTTTGGGGGTTAAGGCTTTAAGGCTTTAAGTCTTTAGGGGTTTAGGGGCTTAGGGGCTTAGGGGCCTTTTAGGGCTTAAGGCTTTAAGGCTTTAAGGGTTTGGGGGTTTAGGGTTTTAGGTTTAGGGTTTAGGGGTTTAGGGGTTTAGGGGTTTAGGGTTTTAGGGTTTTAGGGTTTCGGGTTTCGGGTCCCTACCCTACTTACAACTCCACTTTTAAGTACCCATGAACCTGCAAGTAGGGTTCCTTTAGGGGCTCGTTTAGGGGGCAAGGGTTGAGGCGGTTGAGGGTTTCGTTTATGGGCTTATAGGGTTTAGTTTCGGTTGCAAGTCTCAAAACGAAACTTGGGCCAAAGCAAAATTCTCTTTGCACTTTTCACACCTAACTTGCAGGGCTGGGGAGTTTCTATTGCTTGTCGTTTCAATCTTACTCAGGGTATCTTGAATTAAGGGTACGCTTCTATTTTGAAGTTGAAGGGCTTTCGAGTTCAGGTGGTAGGATTCGGGGTTAGGGATTTATCCAAGTTGAGGTTGCGGCTCAGAACCCGAAACCCGAATCCTGTACCAAGGACTCCAGCATTCGTTGGACCGCTGCTGGGCCTCGATGAGCGAGGCGGGCGGCGGGGGAAAGATTGGACGGCCCGGTCCCATCACCAAGTTCGCCTGGGGGCTGCAATCTGCGCATTTCCCGGGTTCGCACCAGCGGGATGTCCGTGATGCTCCCTTGGGCCCCTTTGCCTTGAAGGAGCTTGGGAACGCAGTCGCTTCCGGGTTTCTCATAGTAGCAAAGCTGCGTGCGCCCTCCAAGCGGTCGCCGATCATTGCCATGCCGGTTAGCTACATCATACCCCAAGCTGATTTCGCACTCCATGTTGTCTTAGCACTTCTTCCTTCCTGGGCGTGGGTTCGCTGGAGTTTTCTGAGGTCACCAACCAATCCCCTCCATGGTGGAGGGCTGAAGGCAAGTACTCAAATCCCTGGAAAACTTAATGTAGGGGCCTTAATAATTAGAATAGGGTTTGGGGGCCCTTTATACTATACTTATAATAAGGAACCCCCTAAATAATAGAGGTAATTATTTAGGCCCCTATAGTAACTGAAAATCATGACCCCAAAAACCTACCCGACCTAACCGTCAGAACCCTGAAAAGAAGCCCTCACCGACTCACGAAAGAACCTTGAAGGAACCCTTGAAACCCAAAGCTCAAGAACGAAACCTGAGCCCCACATGAGCCTACACAAAAGCCGGAACCCTGAATCAACTCTACTTGGAGGCTCATGGGTCACATAAACTTGTGTTTCATAGTGGTTCCTTTTAGGAGAAGGGCCAAACACGGTAGGATAAACTGTATGGCGCTGGAGAACCCTTAACCCTGAACCCTACTGGAGAAGCCAGACCTGGATCACGTCGGCCATCATGTAGATGGGAAGCCGAGATGGGTTCTGCACGAAGAAGGTCAGCATGAAGATCTCGGTTTAGGGATTAGGGTTGAGAGTTTAAAGCTTTTTTTGGCGTGGGTTGGATAGAAAAGGCGAATTTGTTGGGGCCTTCGGAGGTTTTAGGTTTTTCGTTGTGAGGCCCCTTTTGCCTTAGCTCAGACTGTCTGACCACCAGGAGGCTTCAGGGTTTAGAGTTTCGGGCTCTTGGGTTCAGTATAGTTCATGAAGGCTTCTGGGGGCTCCTGTCAGGCTCGTGGCTGAGTGGTTAGGATACTTCCTGAGGGCTGGGTAAGTGTGTTGAAGGTTGCATAACCTTTTGCGAGAGTGGGTACACGGTACAGGAAAAAGTATAGGGTTTTGTCAGTTTTACAATGAAGGTGATGGTAATGACAATGATGTTGACCATGAGAATAGAAGCTTGGCAGCAAGAGCGAGGAGGAGACTATGCCCAAATGGTACCAGCAGCAACACGAAGGCATATCGTGGTCTACTCGCTGCTTCAACTTTGTAACAGCGTGGGCTTCATGAGATAAGAAAGCCCTACCACCCCCAAACCCCAAACCCTAAACTTCTTAGGGTTGCTTATAAAGGTAGGTTACTCATACCCGACATCTTAAGTCCGAAACCCCAACCACCAAACCCCAAATCCCAAACCATCGGACTAATGTAGGGACCTCAATAATTAGAATAGGGTTCCTGTTTAAAGGGATCCTTAAACGGGTCTATAAGAGATCTATAAGGGTACTATAATATAGGGGCCCTAATAATTAGAATAGGGTTTGGGGGCCCATTATGCTATAATGATAATAAAGAACCACTGAAATGGTATTAGTAATTATTGAGGCCCCTATATTAGCTGAGCTTGGTACCGTCCGCACCTACGAAACTCAAGCAGATTCTCTTCAGGTCCACTAGATTCGATAAGATAAGACTACACTTTGCTATACTGTTAGACTGTATCCAGCCAACTTCCTCAGAGCCAGGCCAAGAAGAGAGTCATGGAGACCACATCGTGGATTAGGTCCACATAAAAGAGGCAGACCTTTGGGGGGGCGCAAAGCAGCGTGTAAGATATAGGCCTCAATGATTTGAATGGGGTTTTGGGTATGTTACGGCATAGCTAATTAGGTGTCGATTTCAACAATCCCCGAAATTGTTTGCAATTAGAGCTCTATCTATAAGTCAACAGCAAAGGAAATCAAAGACTATCCCAAATCGATATCTTCGCATTATATCTTCGCATTAATGTATTCCGACCCCTGTATGACCTGAACCGTAGGACCTAAACCCGATTAGATTCACGGATCCCTAAATTCTAAGTTCCAGAACCGAAGCACAAAGAGGGTTTAGGGTTTCTAGGGTTTAGGAGTTTAAGGATTAGGCTGATAAACAGCACAGGCCCTAAATTGAATGTTGATACCACTTGCAGTCAGAACTGTAACCATATAGCGTCTGCTTAGATCGCGGGATGGAACAAAGAGATGTGGCTCACTTCAGCGGAGTTCCCTGACTTTGGTGGGCCACTGTACAGGGTACCAGGAGGAGGGCTTATGGCATGGACTGGACGGCGAGACGGCGAAGCAAGTCCAGGGTGAAAGGATGTTTTTGATGCTTCTATTCGTGTCATCCTTGCGCAGGGGCCGGGTTTGGGTTTAAGGTTTAGGGTTTCAGGTTCAGCATTTGGAGGGTTTCCGAAACTAGGAGAACCTAATATAGCATCCTAAATAGTAGGATCCTTGTTGTATGGACCGCAAGATAAGGTAACCCTAATTGTCAAAAACTCCCATTTAGGATTGGCGGTTTGAGGCTTCTCGGCTGACCTCGCTGACCTCTGTGGGTCGCTGGAAGCCCGCAAGCTAAAGTCTCATGTAGGGGCTTTAATTATTACCTATGCTGCTTTTTGCGGGGTCCTTATTATAAGTATAGTAAAATGGGCCCCAAAACCCTATCAGAGCCCGAAACGAGAAACCTTCACCCCGGAGCTGCAAGCTGGGTGTCCGGCAGATTTGGCCGGCCAGCCATTCTCAAGCCTCGCGTTTGCAGAAGGTAAGGAATCCCGAATAAGCGGGTCATGGCCCGAATATCAGCACTCACAAACAGTGGCTCCTGGAAGCCTCATATACAAAACCCGACTGGATTTAGGGCTGAGGGGTAATCTAGGGGCCTTTAATAATTAGAATAGGGTTTTGGGGCCCATTATACTATATTAAAAATAAGGAGCCCCCAAAACAGTATAGGTAATTATTTAGGCCCCTAGATTAGCTGTCAAAGATCGTTACAATGTACAGGTCTACACAGCGGTTGAAAGGGAATTGGGGCTTGGGCGGGGTTTAGAGGGGTTTGAAAAAGGGGGTTGATAAGTTCCTTGCAGGATCCTAAATCCCCGAACCCTACACCCTGAATCCAAAACCCCGGTAAACTGTCTTGCACTTTAGGATTGGACTTGGGGTGTTGGCGGGTCTCAAGTATTCAATACTTTTGTTCATCCAAACAGACTTGTGGCAATCCAAACCCAAACCAAGCTTGTACACAAAGTGACACCATGATAGCAAGTGCCAGGATTTCGAAGGTAGGCATATAGTCGCTGGCATTTTTTCCTGAGACATTTCGGAAATTATGAAAGTGGTGAAAACTGCGCATGACCATGGGCAACAAGCACATGGGAAGTTGAATGGCATCAACACGCATCAACCCAACTTTAACGGAGATGACACACACGAAGGCTGCAGCATTTCAGCCATTCGCATACGTGCCTTATTCAGAGATGCTGGATGTCAAACCCTACCCCCGAAGCCCTAAACTAGGGCCCTAACGAAGCACATAAGAAAGAAAATTAGGATTGGGATATCCCATATAAACACCCTTAAACGGAAGCCCAATAAGGCAGGGATATCCACATAAAATGCTTATGCTTATGTGCCTTTTGGGTCCCGCATAAACCATGAACAGCAACTTTGGGTGCGGAAGGGCGGGATGGCAATAGAGCAACACTTGGAGGGTCGCGGGACTTAGTAACTGGTTATTTTCGGGACTTATAAGTACCATAACCCCAGTTAGGGTCCCTTTTAGGGTACTTATAAGTCTACTTACTACCTACTTACTAAGTCCCCCGACCCTCCAAGCAGCGTCGAGGGACTACGTCACCTAACAGCATAAGGCCTGAAACCCATTGTACATGTGGGTAGTTGTCAAAATTGAGATCCCTTATTGGGCACACTAAATAATAGGTGCCGCATTATATTCGGGACCCAAAAAGATACCATAATTTTGACAACCACTCATGTGGCAACTCTTGTTACCTTTATCTCTAACACGACCGCGCTTAATACAAAGTTCAAGTTCTGATCCAATGCCTGATGACTAAAGCCGATGTCCCGAAGAAACACCGCAGATGGCCTCAAATCGATCATGTGGATGGAGTACTTGCACATGGAGACCAGCACGACAGAGGACATCGTCAGCGCCTTGACAGCAATGCATCGCGATGACTGAGCTTCAACAGGCCAGTTTTGGATGGCTTCTATGTCCAAAACCGCGCTTTCAAAACCCTAACCCCTAAAGCCCCCGCAAAAGCTTGAGAAACGGATACTCCTGGCATACCGGGCTCTGTGTGGGAAAAGAGCTGTCCAAGAAGTGTCAGTCCAGAATGGGGTGTGGAAAGGGTCTCCGAGGCGTTGTGACAAAGCTAAGCCTTTTCATTCGGGCATTCGTATACCATCTATGTGATATTCAGTACCAACAGCATGTCGATGATGTTGACACAGCACATTCCGCTCCTGTCAGCGTGCTCATTTGCGAGAACTGTCGGCTGCGACAGGTGCTCCGACTTTAAGAACTTGTTGTGTTGAGCCCGGTTACCATCACCATTATCGAATGACATGTCTGCTGCTGTTGCTGCTGCGCCTGTACCGCCACTGCCACTGCCGCTGCAACCGCTGCCACCACCGCGACCACTACTACTGCTCCCACTACTAAGACGACTACAACAACGACGACGACGAAGACACAACGACCACCAGCACCATCACCACTACCGCAAAGAAGGCGACGACTCAACAGCTTGTGGTTTCAGGCACACCCCTGCTTCGAAAAACTCTGACAAGCATCGTTCGTCGCGCTGCTCCGGAGCCCTACTATAGGGGCCTTAATAATGAGAACATGGTTTTGGTGCCCATTATACCATGCCCTAAACCCCAAACCCTAAACCCGAAGCCCTATTCCGTCTTCTCAGGCCTCGAAGAGAATCCACGTGAAGAAGGTGGAGGACTTGGACCTCAACTGATCAGCTTGGCAAGTTGGAAGAAATCCTAAACTGGGATGTAGTTTTGGGGCTCTGAAAAGTATTTATGAATAGGTACCTCTATAGGAACCATACGGGAAATGAAAGAGTTTCCCAAATTGCCACCTAGTAAATCCCTAGGGATCTAAGGACTCATATACCAAGGCTTTTGGGCCCAGAGACCATGCTATATAAGGCTTTTGGGCTATTCTGATGATGAGCTTGGCAAGTTGGATCAAGGTGCAAAAGGAGGGACCCTTAATGGGGATCCCTACCCTATAACGGGCTATATAATGGTTACAGAATAGCTATATTAAGGTGATATACCTAGGGGTCCTTATGCTGATCAGCTTCCCAGACCCCCGGGAGGATCTAAAAAGCCCTTGGGACCCTATACTACGAAAGGGTCTTTATAGGAACCCCCATTAAGGGATCTACTTTCTAGATCCTTTCGGGGGTCTGGTTGGAAGAAATCCTAAATGCCCTAACTCCTAGCCTTGTAGTGCCGCAGCCATCAAATCCACACTGCGACGAAGTTGCTACTACGCCTACCAGTATTGGTAGGCGTGCTGCGACTACGACTACGATTGCGACTACGCCTATCACTACCAGTACCACTACCACTCAAGCTGTGGGCCCGAATCGGAAGCTGAGAACGGGGCGCCACGCTATAGAAGTAGCTCAGCGCCAGCAGGTCGCAGCCTGTGTGTCAAGACTGGAGGAGCAAGAAGACTAGTAAGTGGAAGAAGAGCAAAGCAATAGCAGAAGTAAGTGGAGGAAGAAGAAGTAATAGCAGAAGAAGGCGGAAAAAGAAGAAGAAAGCAAAAGGAGAAAGCTCTGCTTCCTTTCAAAGCTCCAACACGGAACGAGCACACGCACACACAAACAACAAACATACGTAAACAGCTCGGACAGCACAGCTCGGGGCCCGCACCCAGGAGCAAAGCCATGAGTCCGACCAGCTTGATGTTGACGATGAGCCGCGGCACTCCGACCTCCGCCACTTTAGTACATTGTCGTACATTTTAGTTTGCTATAGCACATTATAATGTAGTATGGTATATTAAAGTTATGACAGTATAGTGAAGGTTTAGGGCTTCTCAGAGTTTCGTTGGCCGTCTTTGTGCTTGGGTGGGGCTTCAGTGGCGCGAGAGTCGCGATAGTTAGAGGTGCACGGTTCAGGGCGGTGCCGCCAAAGCGCGGAGATCTTCACCAAACCTATTCGCGAATGCTCAGCTCAAGTTCGAATAAGAACCTCCATAAAACTCCCTCAACCATAGGCCATTTAAATAACCCTAACCCCCTAACACACTAAACCCTGAACCCGAGCCAGGGCCCCAGAAACCAAAAAATCGAGCTGCGCCTCGAACATGTGAGAGACGCGGATTTGCGTCGTGAGGTGGAAAACCTGATGATGGGGGGTTTAGGGTTCAGGGTAGGGCTCTTTTCGGACAAGTTCAGGGTTTAGAGTTTTTCACCTCCAGTGTGCCATCCGAGACAGGAAGTGGTCCTGCAAGTATAACCCTACACCCTCTACCCTAAAACGTCTACTTCTTTTTTCAGCTCTCCGTAGGATATAGGAGTTTCCGAAAGTAGGGGACCCCAATATTCAGGTACCCCTAATCTTCGGAAACTCCCATATGAGATTCCGAGCCTGGGAAGCCTCACTTCAGGGGTGCAAGGCTAATGCCGTCGATGAGTTAGCTTTGTGAACTGATTCATCTGTTTATGTGAGTACTTACATGCGTATGTATGCCTGTGTGTATGCATGCATATATATATATATATATATGTATATATATATATATGTATATAGGTAGACAGATAGATAGATAGATAGATAGATAGTATTAAACTGTATTGTAATATAGACTAGTACATCAAATTACACCATGTTATGTTAAGTTACATTGTGGTATTTTTATATGATCTTATATTGCAATATGCTATACTAGACTACATTAGACTATATCATACTATGTTATGCTATATTACACTATGTCTGACTGTATCAGACTATATGCTAGACTATACATTAGACTATATTAGCCTATATTCGACCAAATTTTACTTTATTATACTACTCTGCTACTGTATAGTATCAGATTGTATAGTACTCTGTATATACATATACATATATATATGGCTTGTATGAGCATAGATGGACATGCATGTCTTCACTGTAACTACGCATCTATGTGGTTCTCGGTCGCTTCACAGACACACAAAAACAGACATCAACCGATGCTGAAATGTCATACCGCAATACTGATGGCCTCGTGCAGTCTGGGCTGAGATTCTCGGTGCGACTTTGCAGGTGTAGGGTTTCAGTGGGTGTAGGGCTTAGGGTTCAGGGCTCAGGGTTCGCACACCGTAGGCAAGTGACAGAGAAGCGGTTCAAACGAAGCAAAATCCGGCCTTCATGAAGATAACGCAGCAGATGTATTGAATCAGGAAGACAGTTCCCACCTGGACCACTTTCAGGGTCCAGGTCTCGCACAGGGGTGCGAACAATAAGACTGGGTGTTTGGGGGGCTGACACTAAGTACAACGAAACCCCTACTACATATTCAGCCCCTCCTTATCAACCTATAAGCCCTCTCAAACCCCCACAGAAGCCCTGCCTGATTTTTAAGGCCCCTTGTTCTAGTTTCACGACCTCATCACCGGGGTCTGCTTCCCCGCGCTCTCTGCGTTAGGACTTGGGCTGCAATATTTTTAAGGGCCTGAAAATGAGAATATGGTCTTGGGGATTGCTGTGCCGTACGTAGGTATGTATGTAGAAACTTCCAGGGGATACTAGTACCAGTTTACGATCAGCGTTTTCGAACCAAGACTAAAAGTCATGTTTTCAAGAGTCCCTTGATTTATCCGAACAGAAAGGCTAAATGGTTCCTGAGGCAAACCCACATTCTCCATACCTGAACGATAGGTTTCTGCACGAGGATCTACTTTGGGCTTAGTGTTTGGGATTGACTTTAAAATCTACGGCCAAGGTTCTATGTATGGCTTTGGGTCCTGAACCCTGAACAGCCAGACCCGGACGACCAGTCATAGCGTTGAGGCCGATATGTCAAAACCCTAGCATAAATCCTAGTGTAGGAACCTGATTAAGAAACCCTGGGCCGAAAACCCCAATAATAGGAGACAAATAAGGAACCCGAAAAAAGACCCAAGGTTTCTTAATGGCTCCTACATTACATAAAACGGTCCCCAATAGAAGGACTCCGAGACAGGAGCCCGTGCTTATGTTTCGAGGGAATTCCACCCTGAAATTCATACAAAAGCCTTTAGGGTTTAGGGTTTAGGGTTAAAGCATGAAAAACGAAGAAAAGCTCTTACAAACCCTTTAAGACCTCGAACATAATCTTACAACCCCCGCCGAACTTAAAGCAGAGAAAACCGGCTGGCTTTAGGATCTATTTAGGGTTTTAAGGTTTACGTATTTGCCTTGGGGTTCGGACCTATTTAATGACTTAATGCCTAGGGCCTAGGGTTCACTACCTATTTCGGGCTTGGGGTTTAGGGCTAGTTACCGCTCTTTCTGCCTTGTAGAATGACCAAGCTTCGACCCCAAACCCTTAGACTCAACAAACCTGGAACCATACTGCAGACCCCTTAAAAGGCGGATAAACGGTATCTGAATGTTAGGGCCTGCGAAAGAAGGCGGGTTACTTATCCGTGGTCTACATCAACACCGAAACCCCTAAACCTAAACCCCTAAGCTGGGATTTAGGGTCGGTTTAAGGCTTTTGGCCCTAAGCCCTGAATCCCCGAAAGCCCCAATCCTACACCAAGAAAGCCACACAGTCGTTTCAGGCGCCAGACTTCGCGGTTGTCGATCGTGGGGGCGTAGAAAACAAGAAAGAGAATGGTATCTGCCTGCGACTTGTTTTGGAACGAGGCGGGGGGGAGTGGGTGGGCACACAATGCCTGCAAATTCACCACATCCTGGAGCCCTCAAGACGCACCTGTTTAATTAGTGGTTCAGGGCTTACGGTTTTCTAAATGCTGGCCATTGCCTTTGCCCAATACAATCTGCCATTCAGGCAATAATTGCGATTTAAGACCAAGATACATTGCCAACATCTGCATCTGTGGCCACACTAGCATGCGCATGTCACAGCTTTAATTGGCTTGAACTGTGAAGGCCGTTATGTTGACACAGAGTTCCTTTCTGCCCTAGCGAAACTAATCGTCTGGCTATGCATGATGCTGCACTATTCTAGACTACCCTGAACCCTCAACCCTGAATCCTAAACCCTAAACCTTAGGCCCTAATCCTAAATACCCTTAGCAATAAACCCTAAACCCTAAACCCAGTAGCCCTGAACCCAGAGCCTCCAAAACCCCTTAATTAAGGAATATACCTTAAAATCATATTAGGGATCCTATTATAATTCAAGGTATATTCCTTAATTAAGGGGTTTTGGAGGCTCTGGGAACCACGCAAAACCTACAGCCCGGGAAGCCCCAACTCCTCCGAGGCCCGCACCAGAAAGCCCCTTCCTGAATCGACCAGCTGTTCCACCTGCTTATGGGGTGGTGGGACTTAGTAACTAAGGCTTTAGGGTTTAGGGTTGAGCTTAGGGCTTAGGGTGTAGGGTTCAAGGCTTACAGGATCATGGGACTTAGCAACTAAGGTTATGAATGTATATAAGGTAACCTATAATTACTACCAAATCGGGTACTAATACTATTTATTCCGATGCCCATATTTGAACCACAGACCAGGTAACTAAGTTTCTCAAAGTACATTTACCCCCAATGAGGATACTTATAACCTTATGGACTATCGGGGAAGCGTTCCCTCAAGGCTTCGCTGGCTTGTGAGGGTTCCCGTCAGGGTTCTATGCGGGCTCTATGACCATTATCGATTGTATGTTCTTAGGGTTCCTGCCATAATTGGAGCTTGCCTTGAGTTGTGGTGCTATGCTGTTGGGTATCCCATACATAACTCAAGTGAGAAATTGTTCAATGAAGGGAACGCACCCTTACTTCGAAATCCACACCTCCACGTCCCGCAACGTGCCGATGAAGACTCTTAGGATAATCTTTCCCAGCAGCAAGAAGAGCGCGAACCTTAGCGCGGTTGGGGTTTAGGGCTTAGGGTTTAGAGTTTAGGGGCGCTTGTGGTTTAGGGTTCCTTCAAGAGCTCTTCTCAGGGTTTCTTGAAGCCTCTAGGGGCTCAGTCGGGGTTCTACAAGGCTAGATTGAGTGTTCATGGTTTGGGCTTCTCTTCCTAGGGCCTCCAAAACCCCTTAATTAAGGAATATGCCTTAAAATCATATTAGGGATCCTATTATAATTTAAGGTATATTCCTTAATGAAGGGGTTTTGGAGGCTCTGGGTTGTGGGACTAAAAAGTTTAGGCCTTTGGCCTTTCAACTGCAAGGCCTCGGTCCATTCCTGCCATGCTTCTGTTCATGACTCCCCAGATGGCACTAGCCAGAAGAAGGTAAAAGCCAGAAAGTTGGAATATGATTATCCTAAGCCCTTTATGGTAAGTTATATGGTATCCTACCCTGAAACCATATTCCAACTTTCTGGAGTTCCCTTTAAGATGTTTGACAAGGGGCATCCATTGTAGAGTTCTTACAGGGATCTATAAGCAAGGGCTCTTCCACTTATGACCATAGGATCATGCCTCTTGCGCTGCTATTGCTAGACTACAGAAGTAAGAAGCGGCATCACAGATTTTCAGGCTTTTTGCACACTGCCTCTAAACCTTAGAGGTGCCATCCTAGCCTCATGGCAGAGTCAGAGCTCTTCAAGCGGTTGTTGGGCTCTTGTTAAGGGATTTACCTTAGGCTACCATAACTCGAACGAGGAAAGCATAGCACTTACTAAAGATCCCAATTATGGTAGCTTACAACAAACTCCTTCACAAGAACCCACTAGACCTAAGAGTAACCCGGTAATAAAAAGGATACCCTTTTTCGTTTAAAGGGGCTTATAAGGGAACCTGAACCGTACAAAAAGGGAATAAGGGCTCACTCTACCTTAACCTACCAAACCCTACTTTTTTCTAGGTTCTTATTCTAAACCCCATTATGGAATTTATAGAGACCCTACTTTTTTGTAGGTTTCAGTAGGTTAAGGTAGGTCCTAGCCCAGGTTGGAGTTCCAGTTCGAACGCTTCAGAGCTTCAGAGCCTGAGTCAATTTCGACAACAGAGCTGGCCCCTAAACCCTAAAGGTTTAACCCTAACCCTAAAAGCCCTTCAACCCTAAACCCTAAGCCTTGACGCTAACAGCCCTTAAACTCTGAAACCTTAGCCCTACGCCCTAACCCAAAAGCCCGTAAACCCTATATAAACCCTCAACTTTAAGACCCCTGCTCTTTCCGTAAAGGTCGTCAAAAAGAGAGCAGCAATATGGACGTCGCAAAAGTTTTTTCCGGAATCCGTATTATATAGTTACTTTCCCATGTACCCAAAAGTCCTATTCTAATCCTAAACACCCCCAAACCCCAAACCTAACAAAAACCCTCTCCAACCCTACAAGGAACTCTTGAAGGAACACTGTTCTGCTTATTCAGGCCCTCTACATTAGTCAGCACACTGGCTGAGGGTTTCTTCTAAGGGCACTCTAAGGGCTCCTACAAAGCTTGTTTTTTTTTTGGGGGAGGGGGGGGGGTTCTGCTAAGGCTTCTTTAAGCGTTCCTTTACGGCTTCTTTGGGGGGGTTCTATGAAGGCTTCTGTTCACGCCTTGGGGTGTAGGATTTGAGCTTCGTTCGGGCTTGTGGGACTTACTTAGAGTCGAGTTTGACTTGAGGCTGCTGGGTGTGCTGACACATATCAAACTACAGGGCACGGTTTAGGGTTTAGGATTTAGGCGTTTAGGGTTTAGTGTTTAGGGTTTGGGGTTAGCCTAATACCCCTTAAACTCCGGAACACAGCTTGAAATATAGGGGCCTGGATATTATGGTAAGACGTATATTCCCTGATTAAGAGTTATTGGGCTCTCTGGGTACAAGCCTGGGTTGGGCTCCCGGACGCAAAATTGTACATCACCGCCAGGCACATCTTGTCCGTGGACAAGTAGATCACTGCCGGGTAGAACTGCTCATGGACGACAAAAGCCTCAAGCACAGCGCTGCTCATTGGCACTATCCCGAACGACCTTCAACACCCTACATTACGGCAAGTATGGCATCTTCCATGTGATAAATCATGCAGGTTTTTGTCCAGTAACAGTATGAGAAGCCTTATTCCACGTCCAACCCCCTGTACTAGGTCCCCTGAACCCTAAACCCTACTTGGAGGTTCATGGGTTGTTATAAGTGGGGTTATAAATCCAGTAATATGGGTTATAAGTACAGTTACCCTACGTTACGTATAACCCTACTTATAACTACCCATGAACCTCCAAGTATTAACCACATCGTACATTTATGGAAACCCTATAGAAAACCTTATGGATCCCTTTAAGGAACCCTGTTTGAACCTCCAAGTACTGCACGTCGCTGTAAGCCGCCGACATGCGCAACAACGCCCGCCACCACCAGGGTGCTCAAGACGATGTATGAAGAGAAGTTCATCGCCAGCCTGACGGGCAAGAATATAGATTATAGATGTTTCAATACCCTTTTCCAGTTTCTAAACCCTCAGCCCTAAACCCCTAAACCCCACACCCTTAAACCCTAAATCACCCCAGCCTTCAGGCATGCAGGTCACGCATCGACTGCGTTTAGGCAAGTGGCCGCGAATTTGCCGGCTCGCTCTTTGAGCGATTCTACTGCTTTGCGATCGTGTTCCTACCGTGAAGGAAAGACTGTTGCCGCAGACTCAATCTGTCAGGCTAGTATTGACCGGAGGGGCCGTGCTGCAAGTGACTGCTCAATTGGCTTGGAACCCTACATTGTGCTGCATGGCAGTCGGGATCAGTCGTCTCATGCTTCATGGTTCTGGGCTTCGGCTTGGCTGCTAGCTCGACAAGTACTAGGGTTTCGCGGCTCTATACTGCGTATAAACGTTCACGCTCCTGTATGGTTATGGAATGCTCACACGCCCATGCATCACCGCTGCTGAACCTTGGACCAACGGCCATAGCCAGCGATGCGAAAGAGAAAGCCTTCGGATCCAGATTCAGCAGTGACGACCCCACCCAACACCCTGAAAACCCAAATTATACCCTCAAGCCTGAAAACTATTGCTGCTTAAACCCGCTAATGCTAATATAGGAGCTGTCATCATCAGAATAGCTCTTTGGGGATTTTGTACTTAACTAAAACAAGGAACCCAAAAATAGAAGTTGAAAATATTGAGGCCCGTCTATTAAACCTAGAACAACATAAACCTCAGCCCTAAACCCTAAACCCTGAATCCCTCAACCCTAAACCCTAAACCCCTAAACCTCAACCCTGAACCCAAATTCGACAGAACCAGGGCCATCGGATCAGGATCAGTGGTCCAGGATTCGGCTCTGGTGGTTCTTAGGGTTTAGGGTTTAGGGCTTAGGGGTTTAGGGTTTAGGGTCTAAGGCTTAGGGTTTAGGGTTTAGGGCTTAGGGGTTTAGGGTTTAGGGTTTAGGGTTTAGGGGTTGAGGGTTTAGGGCTTAGGGGTTTAGGGTTTAGGGGTTTAGGGGTTAGGGTTTAGGGTTAGCTTTGTCGGCTTGGGGTTAGGATTCATTGTGGAGGTTGTAGGTTCTGGAGGAGAGTAAGTGTACGTAAAGGCTTCAATAACTACGACATATGTTGGGTACGGCCCCTACTCAGTAATAGTTGAATAATATTCATAATATAGATATAGTAGGACCTTAATAGTAGCCCTATTATAGACTCTTACTGTATGGTGGCCGTACCTACCGCATATGCCCTTGCAGCTTCATCTTTGAAAGAACCCCAAAATCGGTGAGTTCCTTGCTCGGAGGTTCATAGATAGTTGTAGGTGGGGTTGTAAGTCCCCGAATATGGGTGATTATTGTAGCCACCCTACCTATAACTCCAGTTATGACGACCCATGAACCTCGACGCAAACCAAACTGAAAAGCTAAACCCCAAAAGCGAGACTCCAAATAAACTTGAGGTAACTATAGTTCAACCCATGTTAGGGGACTTTCAATTTACTTATATCTACCCTAAACCCTGAACCCTAAACCCTTAAACGGCACTTATAGACAGCCATGAACCCCCAAAGAACAGGAACTCTGGATTCTAGCTCTCCAGCCCCTAAAGTATGCTAAACTTCCTGCCTTGTCCAGCTCTAGCTGTTTAGGGTTTCGGCTTTAGCGTTGAGAGTTTCGGCGTTGAGGGTTTAGGCTTTACGGTTTTGGCCTTGGGGTTGTAAGGTTTAGTTTAGGCCTTACAGTTCTAGGGTTGAGGGATATAGGATTTGTACTGTTGATGATATAAATCCTGCATAACCTTAAGGACCATAAACTAAGGGAATTATGGCATATTCCTTATTGTGGGTAATGCAGGATTTATATCATCAACCGTAGGTCTTAGGGTTTATATAGGGATTAAGGATTAGGCTCGGCCTGCTGGGGCGAAGCTAGCAGGGGAGACCGAGCCACTGCACACATGTAGAGTCCCATGGTTGCAGTCGGGTTTCTGCAGCCGCGGAGATCCACATCAGCCCGAAATCAATCAAAGTCCTTAAACTGTGTAATATAAGGGCCCTAATAAATAGAATAGGGTTTTGGGGGATAGTATCGGTAACTATTTAGGCCCCTGTATAAAGTTTCAAACGATGATTCCAGGAAAACTCTTGCAACTATGGCTTGAGGAATACGTCTTAATTCAGTGGCAGGTTAACCTGGCCCCCAGATAGAACCCCACTACATCCTGCACCCTAAACTCATCCAAACCGTAACCCCCAACCCTGAACTAAAAGCCGTAAAACCCTTAAGAGAACCCCGAAAGGAACCTCGATCTTCTAGCCCTCTATGTTCCCCCTCAGGAAGGCTTGGAGATCACTAGTAGTGACGGTACCTCATGCGCAATTTTCGTCCTCTCCGCTCTCTGACTCATTCTCTATCTCTGCACTGACCTGCGCTGAGGCTGCCTTCAGGTACCGAGCACGCACTTACTTGATGCCCCCATACTAAACCGTGTAGTAACCCTCATAGAATCCTTCAAGGAACCCTGTATTCCTTGAGTCATCATAAGACTTAAGAACCCCAGGAGCTAGCTTCAGCAAAAAGGGGTGGCTGGGCTCAAAAAACCTTTTGCAACCCTCACAAAATCCCGACAAATCAACCTTACAGACCTTGCTGATGGGCCTCTCTCCGGCTACAAGCAAGGCACCCTGCCTAGTACGATTTGGGGCTTAGGGTTACTTGGTGAGTAGGTAAGGAAAGAAAGAACCTCAACTGGGGTTATAAAGACTTTGAAAAATACAGTTGCTTTGTCAACAGCCCTGGTCACAAATTCTCACGATCCTCCAAACAGGAGTTCTCAGGTTTAGGGTCTGGGCGGTTTAAGGCTTAGGGTTTGAGGCAAGGGTCTAGGGATTTGGGTTTTGGGTTTGGAGTTTTGGTCTTAGGGTTCAGGGTCTAGGGTTTAGGGTTTGAGTTTTGGATTTTGGACGTACGGTGGAGGGTTCGGTGTGGGTTTGTGGTCCAGTGCTCCGGATTCAGAGCTTCAGGTTTTCAGGGTTCGACGGCCCAGCAACTCTTAGTGTTTTGGGTTTAGGATTTAAAGAACACTCAGCTGCACACCCCTTTGACCCAAAATGAGAACAGCTTTTATGATTCACAGAACCTTGCAATCAGAATAAGATACTCATGAACAACCTATGAAACGTACACCCTACAATGATTCCCAAGGAACACCCAGTCTAAACCCTACCACGGAACATTGGAGGCACTCTGTGAGCAAAGAACCGGGTGCATCAGCTCGCCCAGACAAAGCATGTGGGGTCAGAGTTTACGGTTTTTGTGCTAAGGAAACCGACACAAGATCGTCTCGCCATGTATTGCATCCTAGATGCTGTTCCTATCTAGCGCATATGTAGTTCGGGCTCTTGGATGTATGCTAGGGTCAAGGGTTTAATATATGGGCCTTAACAATTACCAATACTATTTTGGTGGTACCTTATTATAAATAGTATAGTGGCCCCCAAAACCCTATTCGAAATATTAAGGCCCCTATATTATACAATTGAAGGACTTTGGGGCCCTTCATACTATAACTCCAAGAAGGAACCCCCAAAACAGTATAGGTAATTATTAGGGCCTCTATATTAGGGCTTATGCCTTAGGGCTCAGAGTGGCAGTCGGTCCCGCGGAGTCTGCAAGAGCCCAAGACAAGCCCAGCGGACAGGTCGGATGTGGGAATCTCTCAATTCAAAGAGCCTTGCACTTAGGGTTTAGGGTTTAGGGGCTTAGGGTTTAGCGGTTTAGGGGTTTGGGCTTTGGGGTTTAGGGCTCCCGACCGAGATATAGGTGCCCTTACGTAGTTGTTAGAAGAGGGCTGCTATTCTTATCTTTCAAGACATGGGGGGGCGCTATTGCCTCTTACGCAGACCACATGGAGGTTCATGGGTAGTTTTAAGTGGGGCAATAAGCAAGGTAACTATTGCTTATGACCCATATTAGGTGTTGAGAAACTCCCGCGGTGATATGTACAAAAAAACAGCCGACTCCTGTGTGTGTGTTTGGAGCCTGTCTTCGGCCCACATATATCTTTCCAAATGGTCTCGAATTAGGGTTCAAAGGCTCAGGGTTCAGGCAATATACAGGCCAGAATACTTACAGCAGAACTTGTGGGGATGGCAGTATGATTATACCAGTGCTGGCAAAGACGTTCCCTTTCTGATCTGAATACTTGCACTAGGGTGAGGGCTCTTTACCCAACCCTAAATTAAACCATTGGCCGCCCGCGCCCAGCGACGGCCCCGCCTAAACCATAAACTCTACCTGTCTTTATCCTACTTTCTGAAGCTCCCGAAACTTCCACCACGCAGGAGTCAGCAAGCATCTGGGGGTTCTGCGCAAAGGTGTTCCCGTTTAGGTCAATGGTGTTCCCACGTAGGTCTATTCTCCAAGGTTAAGGCATGAGGGCTTGATCTAGAGGCCCTCTAGTTCAAAAAAAGAACCCTTAGAAATACTACTAACTACTAACTATAACTATAAGTATAAATATAACTATACCTATAACTGTAACTATAACCATAACCATAACTATTACTATTACAATTGCTATTACTATTACTATTACCAATACTATTACTATTACTATTACCATTACGATTACTATTACTATCACTATTACCATTACCATTACTATTACATATTACTATTACTTTTACTATTGCTATTGCTATTACTGTTACTATTGCTATTGCTATTGCTATTGCCAGTACTATTACTATTACTATTGCTATTACTATTACTATTACTATTACTATTACTATTACTATTACTATTACTATTACTATTACTATTACTATTACTATTACTATTACTATTACTATTACTATTACTATTACTATTACTATTACTACTATTACTATTACTATTACTATTACTATTACTATTACTATTACTATTACTATTACTATTACTATTACTATTACTATTACTATTACTATACTA